TTGTCGGGCTTCAGATCTCCGTGGATGATCTGACAGGCGTGGAGCTGTTCCACCATGTGCATCAGTTCTATAGTCAGGTACATGGTCAGGAACTCCTGGGACTTATTAGTCTCCCCAAACTTATTCACAACATCCTGGAACAATTCAAGGAATTTTAGAGCCGCAAAACAGTCAATATAAACTTTAAGAAGATCATGTTCCTGAGTCTCGGTTATATCAATTTATGTGCCAGTGTGTTTTTAATTGTAATATTCAAACCTAGAGTAATGTTATTGTTATAACTGCTCCATCTACTGGGTATAAACTGATTTACAATACCATAGATACAGGTAAAACTTACCAGTAATGAGCCGTGTTTACAGTATTCTGTGACCAGACAGCTGGCGTCTGTGTAGAAGTAACCCTTATCTATGAACATCACTGCAGGACGCTGTAACATAAACCAACATAATACTTCACAATAATCGATTATGGTGGTCTTAGGGTTATAAACATTTGCTTTACTTTATTCATGTCTTAAACAATTTATGCTTGCTTAATATATGATAGATATTTGATAATGGGAAACAATGGCTTTGGAATACGATTGTAGGGATGTGCAATTTTATCGGTATACCGGTATATCGCGATTTTTTGTTGCGTGATACGTATCGTGATACAGAGACCTAAATACCTGTCTTAAGGTACGTAATATAAAGTCCAGAAATTATTCATTTATTTGTTCAATCTTTCAAATTACAATTACAGAAAGTATAAAAAAATGTTGTAAACAAGAGGCCCATGGGCCACATCGCTCACCTGAGCACTAAGGGTAGGAAAAAGTAGAAAATGGCTTTTTATTGTAAAGTTTAAATCCAAAAGTAGTCCCATGACCAATCATGGATTTGCTATTTTTAGAAAATGATTTTTAAAGAATTTTCCTATATATTTCTATGTAAAACTTTGGTCGGCCATTTTGGCCCCGCCCTACCCCCGGGGGTCATGATTTGAACAAACTTGAATCTACACTACCTGAGCATGCTTCCATTTAAATATGATGAATTATGGCTTTGTCATTCTTGAGAAGATGTTTAAAGAATTTTCCTATATATTTCAATGTAAAACTTTGGTCGGCCATTTTGGCCCTGCCCTACCCCTGGGGGTCATGATTTGAACAAAATTGAAACTACACTACCTGAGCATGCTTCCATATATATATGATGAATTATGGCTTTGTCATTCTTGAGAAGATTTTTAAAGAATTTTCCTATATATTTCTATGTAAAACTTTGGTCAGCCATTTTGGCCCCGCCCTACCCCTGGGGATCATGATTTGAACAAACTTGAATCTACACTACCTGAGATTGCTTCCATATAAATATGATGAATTATGGCTTTGTCATTCTTGAGAAGAAGATGTTTAAAGAATTTTCCTATATATTTCTATGTAAAACTTTGGTCAGCCATTTTGGCCCCGCCCTACCCCCGGGGGTCATGATTTGAACAAACTTGAATCTACACTACCTGAGCATGCTCCCATATATAATATGATGAATTATGGCTTTGTCATTCTTGAGAAGAAGATTTTTAAAGAATTTTCCTATATATTTCTATGTAAAACTTTGGTCGGCCATTTTGGCCCCACCCTACCCCTTGAAACTTGAATCTACACTACCTAAGGATGTTTCCCCATAAGTTTCATCTTTCCTGGCACAGTGGTTCTTGAGAAGAAGATTTTTAAAATATGCCACCAAATTTTCATTAATTCCCAATTATCTCCCCTTGAATGAGGGCGTGGCCCTTCATTAGGCCATGCAAAATTAATTCCTTGGTTCTCAGGCCTTTTTTCAAGAAATATGATGAGGGAGGGAGGCATTTTTTTTTAACTTTTTATTGCCCCCAAAACATGATGAGGCAGCTTTTTACATTGTATACAAAGCCTCAAAAAATGATGAGGGAGGTGATTTGTTGTTTTTAAGGTCTTCCGTTTCCAACGGAAGACCTTCTACTGATTCTGTTGGTAAAGATTATTATTCTTTTTTTTTTTTCTACTTCCTAGACGCCAACTTTGAGGCCTCATATCTCACTTATTTATCACCGGATTTGGCTCAAATTTTCAGACATTATAGACATTATTAAACTCTATCAGAGTAATATCTAACATTTCAAAAATTCACTTCCAGTTTTGAGTTATTCCCCTTTAAACGAAAATTTATAGGCTTTCGTTTCCGGATATAGGCTCAGAGACCACAAAAGCTGGAGCAGAATTTTTACTGATTTTAGGTAACAGAAGGATTGAAGTTGTGCACATCGGTTTTTGTTTTTCGATTTCTGTATTCACAATGGCGCTTTATAGGGGTCAAAAATTAGAACGCCTAAAAGAGCGAAAATTTACACATATGTTCCTTTTTATCTTGAAAACTAAAAATATTTTGTTAAGACATAATGAACAAAAGTTGTGCACAATTGCAAGGGCTTTCATATAATAATATTCAAAAGGGGCTGGCCCCTATAATTAGGGATCAAGGGACCTTGAAAGTTTTTGCTTTATAACTCAGAAACGGTAAATATTTCAAAATGACTATTGATTATAAAGTTGTGCTTTAACATCTTACTGATCTCATGAAATTGTTATTGTGTTCGAGTCTTGTTTTAAATGAGCTAGTGCATGACCTATATATGCACAGGTAATTCTTTTCACTCAGCACGTAAACGAGAGCTCCTCATGCGTGTAACCAAAGCAAGCTTATTATGAATAATAAACATGGCTACATTAAATTCTAATATTCTTCAGAATAAAGTTCTTGAAGTGTTTGTGCTTTTTTTCTTCCAAATTATCATGTTTATTCACTGACAACTTTCCCTTTAATTTCACTTTTTTAAATCGTATAAACCAAGTCCACTAAAAAGGGAAGAAAATATAATCTTTTCTTCTTATCACATAAAAACAAATAATATAGTGAGAAAATAAAACATAACTAAAAAGCACATATGCTTTTCACAGCCATTAAGTGCACGGCTTTAACATTCACCTTGTTTGTTTACAATTATATAACGCGCCTTCCTCGATAGCGGCGGGGCAAAGTCGGTCACCGGGAATCAATCGGCGTGTGATCCAGCGACCTACAGTCATACACAAAAAATAAACAACCACAGAATAGGTAAATTAATTCTTGATAAAATTGTTCCTTTTTATACTATCTCTGCCCCATGAAAATATTATTTTGTTCGAGTCTTACGTATGGTAGTAAAGAAAGCTAGATCCGTATTCACCGTAAACAAGGCTCCGTTCTCATTTTGATATTGAAGAATAATTTATATAAACTTGCCGTAAGTAATAAATATTTTACAACGCTGTATCATATCTCTTTTTTAAATTAGGTTTTAAGGTTATCCGATCCTCAGGTTCTGAAAATCAGGAATTGAGTAATTGAAAATGCTCACAAAAAACATCTCTAAATTCTCAAATTAAAATGTATTCACCCACGGTGTTTCTTTAAACTTCATCTTTAAATTTAATCATTTTATATAGGGAAAATTAGTAAATCTCAAATATATTTTCAGGAAATGCGATTTGAACTACCTACTGAATATTTTTTAATTTATAATTGATCAAGAAATACATTTTAGGAATAAAAATCATAGGTATCCAGGCTTTTAAAGAAAATTGCATGAATTTTACACTTATTTAGTACTTTACTTTTTCCTACTTACTTCCATCGTTTCATAATGCATAGTGTATGAAGTGTTTTTTTTTTTTCAAAGAAAACACCGTAAATCACTTCTAATTTCAAATCATGCTTATAAACATTGGTAACTAAGGCTAAATTAAAAGAAATTTGATTTTTTTTTAAATATGCAAGGTTTACTTAATTTTATGAGGTACAAATGTCAAAATTTTTAATACCATTTGTCAAAACTTTAAAGAACATTGAATCATACCTAGAGGCATAAAATGAAAATTGTTGCATGAAAAAATTTCAATTTCAAGCTTTATTTTAAGACTTTTTGAATTAAATTATAGATTAAAGAGTTATCCTTCTTGGCTGAGGATCGTATATCCTTAAACGTGTTCTTTGTTTCCTGTTCGGAGTATTCGATGGTATCATTTTCCTTTTATTAATAAAGATCTTTCCAACTCCAAGAGAAAGAGTTATAGAAAAAAAAGTACGAGTATCTTTTATTCGTTTGAATATAAACACAAACAATTTGAACGGAAACAATATACGCCCGGATTTCATAAAAAAAACTTTTAAGAGTCAAATAATACACAATTATTTACTGTGCGATTCTCATATTCACCTGGATTACACGCGGCCGAGAAATTCTAAAGCGACACACCGCGGTGAACCACTGACCCCGCAGTCATAGGCAAAATAATTGGTATATTCAAACCATTCTACAACAGTAAGCAAATATTATTTTCTCTAAGTAAATTAAATCTTCCAAAAATATCTTAAAATGTTTTAGGTTTGACTTTAGTATAAAACGCTGGGGCATTTATTTTACATGTACATTAATCAGTCTTCAATTTTTAAATATTCGTTAGCTCCAAATTTGACGATTCATAGCGCAATAAGGACTGGCGATCTTCAGTTACTTTACCTCAAATAATATTTATTAAAATGCACAAGCTTTGCTCTTTTCACACACAAATAAATCCGTTTTCAACACAAGTTTTCCGAAACACATTTTTTTTCATCACATATATTAACCATGGTTATACCAATTTTAAACTTCCGAATCGTAAGGATAGAATTATACTCAATGAAATGGATTAAACATCAATAAGTAACATCGGCACGTGTAAACTTCATAAGTGACTTCTGTGCTGCACACTGTCTATTTATATTACAGGTTTTATAGTAAAGTTCAAGAAATAATGATTTTAAAGCAATGAACTTAATTTGTTTTATAATTTATTCAAAACCCGTATAAATGATTAGTATAGTGTGCTAACATTGTAATTTTGTCCCGCGATTAAATATCAGTAGCAGGTTATACAATGTACATTCGAGTAGTAATAAACCCGCATCGTATGTCCAGAATCGAAAATCTAAGAACTTATATACCGGGGTAACAATCTTATCTGAATATTACAGACTTATCATGTAATTACACGTTTTTACAACCTAAATTAAACTGTTAAAATCATAACCGGAACCAAAGTCAAACCATTTGTATCGTTTACCGTATATAACTCAGTATTTTCTTTAAAATGATGAACTTATATCTAGCGCAAATTACTTTCCTTGGTTTAAAAATACGCGTACGAGAGAAAGCGAGTGAGAGGCATTTTATTCAAGTACATTCATGTTTTTACCAGCGAGTCCCTGTATCAAGTATTGTCTAATTTTTATTCTATTACACATAATCTCCCTTTCCTATTTAAATTTAATTTATTTGATGATTTTATTCAACTTCAAGCACAATATCATTATGTAGACAGTAGTACTAAAATGAAGTACATGCACGGATGCTATTGTACATCGGGAATTTTCTTTAATCATTTATCCATGCATTCCTCCTTCGAGGGAAATAATTATGAATAAATTGATTGAATAACGTGTATAAAACCATGTGGTTTCGGTTTGTCAGCGTGTTTTAGATCATGATCAGCAAATCACAACTCCTCGGGTCTTCCTGTCTAACAGAATAATAACCTCGAATGTATAAGGGATACATCAAGACATCCCCATGCTCCTCACCCCCCCTTTTACCCAAACTTTGAAATAAATGAGGAAAGATATTTTATTTGTGGACTTTTGAGTTTAATTTTATTGAAAGTAAAGCTAGCTATTACCTAAAATACGTATTATGGAAGGGACTTTCAACCCCGTCTATCTTTTTTAAATAGAAACTCCATGTTGTTTGAATATCAATATCCGGTGATGATTAAAAATACCTCAATGTTGTTTTTCTGACCTGTGACAAAATGGAACGAGATAATGCAAATTTCAAACATCTTCATAGGCCAATGACAGAAAAGTTGTAAAATTCCTGTCAGGGTTATGAACTTCTAATCACTAAAAGGTGCTTGTCTTGACACAGAGCCAAGGTTATTCTGTTAAGATCAAGGTCACCGACAGAAGAAATATTTTCTTTACTACGCCATGAAGTAGTAAATGAAAATCATTGGAGGCTTTTACTTGAAACAGATTTCTTATGATTGGAGGTTTTGTCATGACTCTAATCAAATGTCTTTCTGGCAAATCAAGGTCACTGACAAAGAAAAAAATGTTTAAGCATAACTTTGTAATTAAAATTCAAAGAAAGGTTGTTGACATAAGAAAGTGCAGTAACCTTGACCCAAGGTCTGTACTTCCTGTCCACAGCTCCAACGGAAGACCTACTCGTTGCTTTGCAACGAGCTCGGCTCTAGTTATTTTACTGATTTAGCAATAAAAAGGGTCAATGAGGCGCCCTTGGAAGAGATGAGGGAGGGCCTGAGAACCAAGAAATTAATTTTTTTTTGCCTTAGAACAAACTTGAATCCCCTTCACCCAAGGATACTTTGTGGCAAGTTTGGTTGAAATTGGCCCAGCTGTTCTTGAGAAGAAGTCGAAAATGTGAAAAGTTTACAGACAGACAGACAGACAGACGGACGCCGGACAAAATGTGATCAGAAAAGCTCACTTGAGCCTTCGGCTCAGGTTAGCTAAAAATGTTGTAAAAAGTGAAAAGAATGGCATCTTACTGTCCAAACATAATTGATTTTCTATATATACAAAAAAATTTCAAGAAAGTAAAATTTTGTTTTTCTAGCATATTTTTTTAGAAAAATAATGACTTTTCATATAAAATAATTGTGAAAACTGCTTTTAAAAATATCATGATATTATTGTGATATTTTGGGAAAAAATTGTGATATATCGCAATTTCGAAATTTTTGGCTATACCCATCCCTAACGAATTGAAAAGGAATGCTTCAGATTTGAGGGGGGGGGGGGACCTTTAACTGATGTCATCATGGGAAATTCACTACACAATACCAGTACTAACCACATCTACAGGCCTTTGTAACCTCTGTAGTCTTTTCTGCATCTCTGTACAGACATAAAACTCCCACACATTAGCTGGCTTCTGGACCTACAACATATACAGGTCACTATAAACAACCACTCATCTCTGAATAGACATAAAACTCCCACACATTCGCTGGCTTCTGGACCTACAACATACACAGGTCACTATAATCAACCACTTGCGTACTAACCCCTGTTTTTAATTAGCGTTGAACTTTTAACATGATGAAGATTCTTAGAAATCAGTAAACAATAAGTTCCACTCAGGTAGCATAAACTTGTACCACTCATGTATTAAGACCTGTTACAAGTACTAACATATCTTAGTTAAAAATTAGCCATAACTTCAATGACTTGTAGTAAATGACTCAAAATTACTATATAAAATATATTCTTTACTCATTATAAGAACATTTAATAGTGCAGTCTTTATCTGACAAATCCCAGGCATTGAACATAAAGAGATCAGAGATATGAGTTAGACTGTAGGATTTACTGATTTGTAAGCTTCCTATTCTCCTGATTAACAGTTTACTGTGTTACTGAACATCCATCTTAATATATCTCATATCTCTGCTAGAGATGGAAACCAAGATTAATTGTTCAGATTAAATCCAGGCTTTGATGGCTTTACCTTTAATGCTATGAGTTTGGATTCTGCCTCGTTGAAATCCAGGTGTTCATCAAAGTCCAACATATCTGTGCTACAGAAGGAAACACATGTGGCACTATACACCTTGGCAAACGCTCCCTTACCTATCTTCTCCTTGATCTCATACATGTCCGATCCTACAATAGGTAAGCATAGAAATGTAGATGTGTGACCCAGGTCAAAGTTTTAGATACTTATAGTTATGATTGATACACAAACCCAGGTCAAAGTATTAGACAGATAGAAATATAGTTAATGTAAACCAACTTTTATTTGCGACGACTTTATTTCGCAATTTACCAGTTGTAAAGTAGTTCGTGACGATATATTTTCGCAATCAAGTCCTTTTTGGTTCGTTTGATAATAGACACAGAGACTTGAAGGATCAGTTCGCGGCGAGACATATTCGCGATGACAAGGCTCTCGCGAACCTCGCAAAAATTTCTCGCACGCGAATAAAAGTTGGTTTACAGTATGCTTCTTTTTCTCACCTAGTGTGATATTGAGGCCACATATAATACTCTGGATCTGTCTAGGGACCTCGTGGTACCCGGGGTGGAGTTTAATAGAAGTGGGAAGTTGTTCCAGGATACCCTTGACTGTCTCCGCATCAAACGGATCGTGGGTGTCGATGTACACGGACTGGTCAGCTAAGTCCAGCCCTTCCTCTGGAGGGTGATAGGTGGACACGTCTATGATGTGGCTGGAATGATTCAGGTCACCAGGTCCCACGGCTGACTCCACAGTCAGGTGATGAATGGGAGGGGCTGGCCCCGAGGGGTCAGCACTCTCTCCTGGGGGGTGGGCAGAACTATGCTGAGTCTGATGGTGAGACTGGCTGCTGGGGTCCGACTCCTCATTACTTCCCTCCATTATAGGGCTGGATATAAACAGGATAGTAATGGGATTGTTTTACGGTGGTTATAGCACAATTACCAAAATCTGCAGCTTTGTTCATTGTATTATTTATAAAAGAAGAATGTTACTGCATATAAATCTGACTATAAATGTAACTCTTTCTGCTATGATTGCAGTTTGTGTCTCACACTGCACAGAAGCTTCTACAATAGTTTGCCACATTCAGAAGAATATTACCAAAGATTGTGACATGAATAAAAAAATTTTTTTCACTTAATTTCGAAAATTGTAACTAATTCTAAGACTCCAATAATTTTTTTTTACTTGCTGGACTACTGTAAAATAAGCCCCTACCTTAGATTTTGTTGATCAGGAAAGAAGCTATTAGCTGCCTGGCTGTCGGCTGTGTGGGAGAGGAGAGGCAAGGAGGGGGTGTTGTTGGCAGTTTTATCGGCCTGTATGTTAGAAAGATTAGGTATGGGGGGTGGGGCCTCGTGGTTCTCATTGAAGGGGGTAGAAGCACATCTGGCCATGGCAGCAAAACTCTGGTGAGAGCCCACTGGTGCGATGGTGAAATCCTCGTAGTACCCACCCTGGGATTCAATTCCCTCCATTTTATTCTCCAAATCCTGTGTAAGCATAATAAAGATTGAATCTTAGTAAAATTTCACTATGTTTTTAAAAAGACAAGTATTTTGTTCACAAATATTTAAACCCAAATATTTAAAATTTGAGAATTCATTTGAATCCATTATATTAAAGATGAAACACTTTTCAGCACAAAGTCTCTGTTTTTTTGTTTTTTTCAAGCATAATGACCAAAGAAAATATTCCTCAACTGAAAGAAGGCACTGCAAAAGTATTTATAAATCATACTGGCCTAACAATATGGAAAAATATTTTAAAAATGTCCTACAAATGTTCAAAACAATGTCTTACAAAAGTATGTTCTAAACAATATCTTACTGATGTTCTAAACAATGTCTTACAAATGTTCAAAACAATGTCTTAAAATGTTCAAAACAATGTCTTACAAATCATTCTGATCTTTCATTTTGTGTCAGGTCTCTGTCCCAGAGACTTACCCCATGGAATCTCCTTCTTTTTGGTTCTAAATGAATTAGAGACTGTAAATGTATTATATTTAGCTGTACGATATTCCAAATCTACATTGAGGTATAGAAAGGTATGTACTGTATATCATTCTGATCTTTCATTTTGTATCAGTATGTTTCATTAATATGGAATATATGATTTTTGCATTCCAATAAATGATTTTTTTTTTTTTGATTTATTTAGGATATCAAAAAATTGTCAGTATATCATAACTTACCCTCCATGACTGGAAAGATGTAAAACAAGATACAAATTTAGATAAGACATACCATGTCATCATAAAGTATGATGTCTGGTGTACTAAGAGGTGAGTGAAGAAACCTGTCTCCATTACTACAGTACTAACCTGGTCTGATCCGTGTTCAATGCCTGATTTTCTTTACTGGTCTGGTCTTCATGAACTGTAAATCTTTTTTTCCCTAATTTCTCTGCCTGGGCATTCTCATCAAAAATTGCAAATGGTTGACTAGCTGCTGCAGGAACCTCTGTTATCAAATTAGAAGAAGTTGTAACACGAGAGCTGATACCCAAACAAAGGAAAGTCTTCAGTGAAATTACAAACACATATTTCACTTTTCATTGATGTAATATCTAATTATGCTATTCTGATTAAAAATATGGTTTATTAACATGGTCATTTTATAATACCACAGCATTTTGGCAAACATCAGTTATGTTTTTCTTTCTCTTTTTAGTCCATTCTGGAGAGGTATAACGAAAATTGGCACAGTCTGAACTTATCCTATTTCCATCATCCCAGCCAAAGTCCAGAGACGTGTTGAACATCCCCATCACAATGTTAATGGCTTCCTTTGTATTAACAGTGGGAGAGGGGGCAGTAAAGGACTGAAACGAAAACAAGTCACAAATCAGAGGTCTGTAACATAATTATAAATCACAAGACTTTTAAAAATGCCATTCGTAGAAAAATTTGATAAAACTACCAATATTGTATGTTATCTTTGATATAAGCATTTTCAAATGCTTTTCCCTTACATATCATTTAAACACGGTGTACATAATCCTTGTTTTGTCATGTGATCTAATCAAGTTTTACAGTTACATCTAAATGGTCAACATCTTCAACCCATTCAATTTAAACCATTGAAGTTTGAAAAACTACACTGTAAATCCTTTCATAGACTTCAAACTACACAATGTAATTATCTGTGTAAAAAAATAAGTCCGAAATGTAAATACTGTAGAAGCACAAATTTTCATAGGGATAAATTTTTTTTGTCATTTAGGTTTTATTGGAAATAAATTTTTTTTTTATATATCATTTAAACAAGGTGTAGGATTTAAATTTCATTGATGTTTGATAACAAATTTTACACTGTATACAGGGTTATTTTCGCCCTTTTAAAACTTGTGAACAATTTTGTAAATTTTAAATTAGCCACAATGTAAGTTCTGTTTAAAAAATTATGAAATGTAAATACTGTAGAAGCACAAATTTTCATAGGGATAAATTTTTGTCATTTAGGTTTTATTGGAAATAATTTTTTGGGGGGAGAATAACCTTATTTAATATTAAGTCATGTAAAAAATTTGTGTAGGATTTAAATTTCATTGATGATTGAAAAGAAAGAAATTAAATCACCACAAATCTGCCATAAAGCTCTTCTTGAGTTTTTGATTGATGAGTTTTTGATTGATGACTTACATGACCTGCTGTTGGTAGCTTTGCTTTACTATTTTTGTTTTTATCTGGTATTTGTTGATTTGCCTAACTATTTTTCATAAAATCTGGTATTTGTAGATATGCCTTACTATTTTGCATCTATCTTGGTGTCTGTAACTATTCCTTCCTATTTTGTTGTTTTCTGGTATTTGTAGATATGCATTACTAGTTATTGCGAATATTTCTTGCCGCAAACCGTTCCTTAACCTTGGTCTTTGTGGCATACATGTATTAATAATTAGTGTCTGAAATTTACAGGCTTTCATTTACTGTTGAAATGGGATAAAATCGTCAAATGTCAACTAGTGTATCAAAATGCAATAATAAAGTCATGGCAAATAAAAGTTGGGCTTATAGTATCTACAAATCCGTTGTAAAAACAAAATAGTTCCTGGAATGTTATTATTTTGTTTTATATATCTTTTTGCCATTTCACAAACGCTTTTACATTCTCTCGTTGCATCGCCTCAGCTAAAGTCCAAGGTTAACTGAGAGTTGTAATCTTTTTGGTCGGTGTTTGGGCTATTTTTAATTTTCTTGATCATTTGTGGCTACATCTTACTTTATCGATTTATCTGTTGCCTGTACAAATTATCAAACCTTCTACTTGAATAAAAATACAACAACCCTTACATTTTTCGGTTTTTTTTCTCACATATGCTTCTGTTGTCTGTAGGTAAGTCTTACCCTTATACATTATGCACCATATCTAAATTTGTTGAACTCTGTTGTTTAAAATATTGATATGGTTATTAAACATCATATATTCGGGCACATGGCAGGTTTTTTCACAGCCCCGAGGATCCAGTAGAATTCAGTAAGGACCGGTTACTGGGTGTCGATGTAGAAGTCTGTAAAATGAGTCATCATTTTGGTATACAGAGGAAAAACATATTGAATGAAACTTGTTTCTAATTTCATTCATACCCTACTCAGTGTTTGAAATAACCGTGAGCCTGACCGCCCGAGAGTCATAAATTTTGTCAGGGGCGAACAGATTAGCACATATTGATGCCCGTCTGGACGAGTAAACTTTTTTCCATAAATTTAGATTCATATATTTGATAAAACTCTCAGATCAACTAAGATTACTGGTTGCAAAGTGTAACAAACAAACGGGTAGAATTCATCAGCTTATAAGTCCGGGATCGAATATATAGTGAGCTGGCCCCATTCACAATACTGCTAAAACGAACTTATGAAAGATTATTATTTATAAAAGACTATTATTTTTTTGGGCTCGTACATCTTTGGCAGGGCTGACAACTTTCACTAGCAGTCTGCCCTGTATGTCCAGCTAATTTTACAGTGAGTTTCAAACACTTACCCTTCTTCAAATTAATTAAATTGTTCTGCTCATGTTCACACTTATGATTCTTTATAAAGCTTAGTTTTTCATGTAGGTAATCTGCACTTTTAACTAATTTTTAGTTTCTACAGAGATAAGATATTATAAATTTTACCATTATTATACGGTATTCACAATATTAGCATAACTTCGGTAAATAAAATATGAAAGAAAAAGTGAGCAAGCTCACGTACCCCACACTCCCCCAAGACTCAAAGTGCTGAAAATCCCGGAAAATACAAAGGAATCGGAATTTCTCGATTATTTGCACATCTACACATTGTTTCCTAAATATCTGCAAAGTTTCACGAAATTCTGTGCAGCACTTCATGAGGAGTTGCGCTGACAAAAAAACAGGACTGACTGACTGACATCGACCGACTGACTGACAGATGGGTCAAAAACATTATATCTCACACAACTTGTTGCGTGGGACCCCGGGTATAATAAACACATTGTAACTAAGATTTTTTTCTTGCATTAAAATACAATTAATACTCTTTGACAGGCAGTAAATGTATAATTACATGAAAACAAATTACAGCAACAGCTCAGGTCAAAATATAAAGCGATGAAGATAGAGAAACTGCTGCAAACACAGAACAAGATAACGTACCACTTGTACTACACAAACCTGGAGAGGGTTTTGGGATTGAGATTGGGTCTCCATTTCCCCATGTACATGTGGGGATGTTTGTCTCTCACCAGAGGGATATACCCCTTCTGATCTCCCCCCAGCTGGTGCCATATCACCCCGGGGATATACCCCTTCTGCTCTCCCCCCAGCTGGTGCCACATCAGATGCCCGTTGGACCACCTGTACATCATTTAGTGGCAGAGACTGACGAGAGGAGCGGGCTGTTTCCTGTTGTTGCATTCGGCGTTCAATGTCTCTTTCTAGCTGATCTCTCTGTGTTTGTACATGTTGCTGGCTACAAAGATAATTATTTTTTAAATCTTTTTTTCAGGTAAGGGTGACATTGATAGTGCAAGGATCAAAACAACCTATACACTGAATTGTGAAACAAACAGAGAAGAGAAAAAAATGTTCCCACAATCTTAAACACATCATAATTTATAACTGTGCACTAGGATTTACCTATGTAGCCTTGACCTATAATCTCTACTTTGCACGAGGCTATTTCCCTATTTAGCCTTGACCTATAATCTCTACCTTACAATAGGCTATTTCCCTATTTAACCTTGACCTATAATCTCTGCTTTGCTCGAGGGTAAAGGCTCGAGGCTATTTATCTATTTAGCCTTGACCTATAATTTCTACCTTGCAATAGGCTATTTACTTATTTAGTCTTGACCTATAATCTCTACCTTGCAAAAGGCTATTCATCTCTCACTCACCTGGCTATTTACCTATTAGGCCATGACCTATAACCTCTGACTGACCTGGCTGTTTCCAGCTGCTGTTCTCGTTCTTGCATTTTCTCCTGGAGTCTTGCGAACATGGACATCTGTTCTCTCTCGAATTGTTCCCTCTGAAGCTGGAACTCCTCCATCTGACGACGAATCATCTCCTGCTTCCTCAGCAGTTCCTCCTGTTGGGCTAAATATAGACAGAAAATAATGCCATATTTAACCATAGAGGGAGAATTACAGTGATATAATTTATTCTTATTCACTAAGTACTACTTTATAAATAAGCCTTTCTCTCTCTACTTCTCAGTACTTTGATATTATATAAGTCCAAGAGGCATAACTCTCTCCCAAATATATTTTTATAAGATATTTTTATGAAAAATCTGTATACCAAATATCATTTCAGTATGTGCAACCTCTGCAGAGAACAGAAACTGCAAATAATTGGAATATTTCTAAGTCTAAGGGGCATAACTCTATCGTGACCACCTAGATATTCTTATGATAAATCTGTATACCAAATGTCCTTTCAATATGTTCAAGGGTTGTGAAGAAAATGAACAGAAACTTGGTGGAGAGACATAAAGACAGCAGCAAAGCAATATGCCCTCCTTTTAATTTTAGCTGTCACACATTTTAACACTTGAATTGATACCTGCAATCTCTTTTTCCTTTTCTCTACGCCTCTTGTCTTCCATCGCCCGTTTCTTGGCTTTCCATCTTAAGGCCCGAATTTCCTCAAAGGAAAATTCCTCAATTCCATAATAAACTTTATCCTTACAATACATGGGAACAAAAACACCAGCTTCTGTTTCTGTCACGTGTCGTAAGTTATGGAGGGGATCTGTGTGTTTTGGTGCTTTCCTTGCACTACAAATAATACACATACTCTAACTAATAACTATGCCGCATTATCATATCATACAAGTAAATATAAGAAATATACAATAAATTCTTCAAAAATAACTGAAGTGTTTATAATATTTATATAAAGTACAAGTATCATATCAGAAGACTTTGTGTATTGTATTTATGGAGGAAAGACTATTAAGAAAAGGTACCTTTCTTGAATACGGAAAAGGGCCTTTAAACAGCCAAAATTAAAGACATTCAAGAAACCTTATAGGGTAATTAAGACTTTTTCATGTTTTAATTAATCTAAAATACATTAAACTCTCAATAAAGCTATAAACTCAGGAAACAGGGAATACAGTAATTCATAAGACGACAAAATGTTATCATGGTTATATATACATAATAATCATACTTTATTTTTGTATTAATTTGTTCACACCTAAATGACAAGATACAACTGCACCAAGAAAATTTTTCATAAACTAAGCAAAATTATACATCTTTGAAATTTAACGCCTATCCAGTATTTCATTCAAAATTTGATGAGATTGACAACCTTAGAACTTGATGTTCCATTCCAGTAGATTTCCTCGGTGTCCTGTGAAATACAAAATAACACCTGTCAGAGTCAAGAAAAGAAGCACTAGTCCTTCAGGACTAAAGCCTGGAAAAATTAGTGTTGAACACAGTAAAAGTCTTACATCATTGGCTGGTCTGAGTTCTCCTCCACATGTATACTAAACGAAGGTTTCCCCACGACGGGTGGAACAACTGCTCCTCTCTGAGGGACCTACAATCAAGCACATCTCAACATGGAGTCATTATCACTTACTTTTCCCACAAACATAATAATTTAAAATTTCCATAGACAGACTAAATCTGTCACAATCAGAGAATCCATCCAACAGTGTTTATGTATTTTTACCATCTTAGTTCTAAACACTAAATGTGGAACAAATTTGGGTATCAAACCTTTGTTGAAGTCCACACGCCTGGTTTCTGGCGGTTCTCTTTGTTGATGGCGGATGGTTTGGGAATCTCCTTCCACTCTCCCGTGGTTTCCGGGATGTAGGATGGTGAGGTGTTCTCGTCAGTATAGACCTGGAATCCCAGCCCTTGTTTCTGATTGGGTGGTCGAGATTTTAGTGGTATTCCACCACCTGATCCTATCAAAGACCAAATTCTGTATTTTTATTGTTTTAAATAATAAGTTCAGGGATCGACATTAACGGTTGTCCGATTGCCCAGGACAAGTAAATCATTAGTTTGGGCAGGTGAAACTATCGATGTACTTGTCCGATCGGGCAAGTGGATATTTCTGATAGAAACATTTTTTTTAATCTTACATTAGTTTATAAAAAAAATGATAAATTGAACAGTTGATGGGACATCGTTTTTTGCATTTGGAATCCCTCGGTAGCATTTCTGGATCATACCTGTACTTTTATTTAGAATTTTATTTATTCAAATTTCGAAAGAAAAAAAAATTGTAAGGAGATATTATTAGTACATTGCTGTGTGTGTTTACAGGATAGTATATGACAGGAAAGTTGTTTACATATATACAATAACAAATTAAGATACAGTAACTGGTATTTTCTTCTTTTAAATTTTTGGGCAATCAAGTTTTATGTTCGGACAAGTCAAAAGCCCGAAGGACAAGTGAATATAAAAGTTAACGTCTATCCCTGAAGGTCATTCCAATATTTTTTTTTAGTATATACAGTAAAATTTGTCTAATCCGTGGTTCTTAAGATTCCGAAGATTTGTTTCCGTCTATAAATTTTAGTCCCATGCACTTCTTTAATAAATTCATTAAAAAAAAATCTGTGTAGTCCGGATACTGTCTATTCTGTATTCCGAACGGCCATAATGGTCCCAACTGCTCATAATTAACGGTAATTATTCCCTCTAATCCGGCCACACCTGAGTTACTTCAAAGCAATTAACACCTTTCGTGGTGGATGTGATAATCTGTGTTTACATAGACTATAGCATCATTAGTGCCATGAGACAAACTCAATAAAATGCGGCGGTGACACAACCCACTTGGAAAATAAATTATATGATTAAATTACAATCAAAATAACTTTGTTTCACTCCTTTTACCACATTATAACATAAACACAAAAATATATTTACGCGATTTACAAATCAAAATATAAATCGGGATCGAAAATCGAACGCATTTCAAAATGGCGCCATAACACTGTGGGGGAAGACGTAATTTTTTACATAAAAATTAAAAGTTCAATCCAATAATTAGCACATCGTAAATAATTGTGCATTACTGTTAATACCCCTGTACATTGAATGAGGTCTTTGACAAGCGAAACCCGGTCCGCTTAATACATAGTAGGCCTATATTATGCATGCCTGTATATTCTGATTGAAGTAACATTTCACCCGACTTTCAAACTTAGCGAACAAATAGGAAAATACAGTAAGTCATGTGAGACTATTTTATAATTTCTAGACTCCAAAATATTGATTGATTTCATCATTTAAATATATTTATAATATGTATATGATGTACTTGTGAATAAACAACGAAAATTTTCGAAATTGATATTTTCCTGCATTTTTCCTGTTCCGGACAAGTCAAAAGCCCGAAGGACAAGTGAATATAAAAGTTAATGTCTATCCCTGAAGGTCATTCCAATATTTTTTTTTTGTATATACCAATCATTGTAGAGGCTACCTACATATCAAACAATAAAACAGACCTGATAGTCCACAAAAAGACATTAAATATTCAGAGGAAGAAGATTTTTTTTTTCCCAATCTCTTGTAAAAAGATATAGTCCTATGAAGATGCTGAGTACATGCTTAATTTATTCAGTTATTTACAACCAACAATGCTAAATTAATGGTCACAAACTGAGTTTTACCTGTGATCTGAAATTGTCACCACTTAAACAATTTTTTTATCATAAAATCAGCATTAACGATCAAAAATAACAACCCAGGAGATAGTTATTTCCAATCTAATGCAATCTACATTTTTTATTTGATGTTAATGACTTATTTTTCCTTTCACTTTGTTTTATAAAAGCCTTGTGTTTTTGTGCCATTTTATTGAGCTTTCACTCACACTTATCTAACTGCCTCAGACTCAGTGCAGTAGCCAATCATAATGCATTTTACCAAATAGTTGCACTGGAAAAATATTTATTAATTTATCAAAAATACAGAATTTTTATAAACAAATATATGCATAAAAAATTACCAAACTTTTCTACAAGTAATTTTACAGCTGTTTCTGTTACCTTGGAAAAAATTTCCACTTCTGGACACAGGTGCTTGCCCCTTTTTGCCTACAGTTTTGAGTTTTCCGAGGGCTGTCCTTGTTTCAGGAGGCGCAGTTTCCATTTCCTCCTCGACTTGTCCCACCAACCCCTGGGCAACTCGGTACTGAAAACGTCTAAAAGCAAGGACATTAACAAAATTCAGAAAAACTCTTCAAATTTAAACCATTACATTTTGTATGTATGAGAGTTCCTGCTCTTAGCATATATACACACTCATGATTCTCCCACGACTTGATTAGAATACAGAATTTTTTCTGTAACTAGATAAGCATATATACTTCCTCGTTTCTCCTGTTTTTGCCCCCGACATATATAGATACTTACTCATGTTTTTTCTGTAGATGGGTGAGAGGTTTGGCTCCCCGTCGGATCCCTAGTTGGTAAATACTGTCCGCTTTCTTGGGATTTCCCCCCAGTTCTGTGACATTGGCCCAGCTCTCGTAGAAACAACTCAACTCTGTCCCAATGCCCTGGTCATGCATAAACTTGAAGATCTCGTCCGACTCTGCCGACAAATTAGCCTGAGGAGAAAAGTAGATATTAATACAAATGACAAAAAAAAACTTTCAAATGACTTTTTTATACGTATTAAAAAATGACAGTACTGAAGTGCTTATACATGTAGTTTTTGCGAATCATTTAAAAATGAAATATTGTCTGGACCATGGTCAGACGTAGACTATCTCAGGTAGACTATGTATTTGATGTCCAAATATCGAAGATTACGTTTCTGTCACAAATTTTACAACTGTAACAATAAACCAATAACAATGCACATCACTGATGAATACTATTTTCCATGACATATAAACTTACGTAGCGGATCCAAATGTCCACATATCTCTGGTCGTTCTTGTAGACATCTTTCTCATTAAATTCCCTGATACAGCGTTCCAGTAACTGCCACAAGGGGCTCTCATTTCCTCCTTTAGGAAAAGCCTGTTCTGTCCACAGAACATAACTAAAAAAGCATGAAAGAAAAAGAAACTTCACAATACATGATAATATGGCCATTTCATTTTGAATCTCTAATAAGCTGCTAATCTTGTGTGAATAATTTAATGAGTTTTCTTATTTTCACTCATAAACCTCATTACTTAGCATTCTAATCATAATTACATACATGAATAAGAAGAGGCTCTTGACCTGATTGCTCATCAGGATGATGGATCTTAAGTATTTCATTATAATGCATGTAGCATTTCAATATACTCTCTTAGACTTTGCCTGACACTGTAAGACACAGGTTTCTTGTACTACTCTTCATAACAATTCTGGGGTGAACAACATGAACAAATTACATAATTTTGTAAAAGAAAGTCATCTTCTATCTAGCTATGAACTTGTTTTTTGCTTAGATGTGTCATTTATTTTTATGCTATGCAATGAGAGCATGTGATAGCATGCTAAGAATAATTTTGAAAAAGATTACTTGGGTCAATATTTTTTTTTTTCAGATTGGGCAATTTCAATTAAAGAACAAATAGTTATTTTATTTTTGCCTCTCATAGTGCATACTGCAAAACAAACAGAAAGCAGCGGCTCATTCGAATAATGTTTCTTATAATTAAACAATCATTCAGAACTAGTCAATTATTCATTTCATTTCTGATAGCGTATGAAAAAAAGCTCAGCACTAGCCAATAATTGATATTCACTGTTACAGACTATGAAATACCTCAGCATGCTACTAAAAAGTTCTACTTGGAATTTTCTCCTTGACAATGTGAGATTTAATCAATGTTGCCCCCATAATTGTTGATAACAGTATGGGTTCATGAATTGTCCATTTGTCAATGTTTCAGTCTTTGATTGAAGAACAAATAATGACTTTGTAATCACAGTTGACACTGGAGTTATTCCTTACTAACATTTTGACTTCTGAAGTGATGCATCCAAATCATTCAAAAATATACTCCAACAAGAGGCCCATGGGCCACATCGCTCACCTGAGCACCAAGGGTAGGACTAGTATAAAATGGCTTTTTATTGTAAAGTTTAAATCCAAAAGTAGTCCCATGACCAATCATGGATTTGCTATTTTTTAGAAAATGATTGAGAAGATTTTTAAAGAATTTTCCTATATATTTCTATGTAAAACTTTGGTCGGCCATTTTGGCCCCGCCCTACCCCGGGGGGTCATGATTTGAACAAACTTGAATCTACACTACCTGAACATGCTTCCATATAAATATGATGAATAATGGCTTTGTCATTCTTGAGAAGAAGATTTTTAAAGAATTTTCCTATATATTTCTATGTAAAACCTTGGTCGGCCATTTTGGCCCCGCCCTACCCCCGGGGGTCATGATTTGAACAAACTTGAATCTACACTACCTGAGCATGCTTCCATATAAATATGATGAATTATGGCTTTGTCATTCTTGAGAAGAAGATTTTTAAAGAATTTTCCTATATATTTCTATGTAAAACTTTGGTCGGCCATTTTGGCCCTGCTCTACCCCCGGGGGTCATGATTTGAACAAACTTGAATCTACACTACCTGAGGATGTTTCCCCATAAGTTTCATCTTTCCTGGCACAGTGGTTCTTGAGAAGAAGATTTTTAAAATATACCACTAAATTTTCATTAATTCCCAATTATCTCCCCTTGAATAAGGGCGTGGCCCTTCATTTGAAAAAACTTGAATCCCCTTCACCCAAGGATACTTTGTGAAAAGTTTGGATGAAATTGGCCCAGCGGTTCTTGAGAAGAAGTCGAAAATGTGAAAAGTTTACAGACAGACAGACAGACGGACGCCGGACAAAATGTGATCAGAAAAGCTCACTTGAGCCTTCGGCTCAGGTGAGCTAAAAATATATATATGTATATAATATAAGAATTATATTGGCTTTTTGATTAAATCATTAATTTCTAAAAAAAATTATATTTTGCCCAGGTTACCAGGTAGCCTTTTATATTCATATTGTACCTAAACCAAACTTCCACAGTAGGTCCTTCCCCCCAGATAATACTTACCCAAACCAAACTTCTAGAGGGTCATCTCCACTGTAGCTTCTTAAAGCCTCTTCAAAGTTCCTAAACAAAGCATATTTATAGTATAAGTTTTTTTTTTTGATGAGTTGGAGCAATGACAAAACAACTTACATAATTATCTCAATAAGTCATATAAACTTACGGTGTATTTCACTGATTTATTCTGAATAATGAAATTTTCAATAAATCTGAAATTTGATTTTCTTTATTTTATTTTATTACAGCGCTTCTAGTCACTGCAAGGCTTGAAAATGCCTTTGTGAAATGAAAATTTGGACTTGGCACATTGATCCAAACAATTTTTTTCTGCAAGCGACAGCAGTTACCTGTGGTCCAATAATACTAAGAGAAATGCATCTCAACAAAAACAATGTTTTCGTGGTATTCAGGTAACAAGACGTTTCAAGAAAAAAAAAAATACACTTGCCTAAGTCGCCTTGATTTTAATGAATATATAGCAGATAAGTAGTAGTAGATATTAAAAAATTTTCATTTTCAAACTTCTACTTGATAATCCAACAAACATATGACTTCATGTGACATTCATAAAGAGAGTCCTGCGGGGGATGGGTGTCATACACATATTTATTATATACCTAATGTGTATCACTCAGTTTTACTGTTGAATTCATACAATCACGTGACGTCGTGATCCGACTTTCCAGATCACCACACTGTGGTTTTCTTAATCCATATCACCACTCTCTGAAACTGATGACGTATTACGCAGAAAAATTACTTAATTTTTCTTGCCAGGGCTCTCACACCACTTTTTGGGACTGGGGCCGGGGCCGTTCAAATTGGGAAAATTATCGTCATTTTCGGAAAAGTTGGATAACCAAAATTCATTTAAAAAATCCTCAAATTTTCCTTTTCTAGCATTTTGTCATCAATTTTATTCTGGTTTTGAATAAACAGTTAAACAAACACAAACATGGGTACATAGTCTAATTGTGAAAGTACATTAGCTTTTTCATTACCATCTTTGAGTGTTGATATTGTGGTTATATGTCTTACTGAGCAACAGTCGCTAGTTACATCATCCCGAATTTCCTCGATCACATGGACAACTTTGCTTACCAATACAGCGCGAGACTGAACATGCCGAAGCGTGGGTATGTTTCTAGGTGCAGCTTACTCACTGATGTTTAAATGAAATGTCTATTTTTGAAACCAAAATGATGTTTTGTGTCGAAACTACATGACAAGATACTCTGCACTCCTAGTACACATTTTTGTAAAAACAATATAACCTGGTTCCCCGAACCAGTTTACGAATGCATTTGGCACGAACTAATAAAATAGTAATACAGTTTCACTTTCATTTGCAAGTGTGTTTTGTTTGGGTTTTTTTGCCATTAAGTTTCATGGACTTTTATTCTTCAATTAATATTTTGCTGTGGAAATTGGGAAATTTACACCTTTCTTTTGGGAAAAAAGGTACCTTTTTTGCATTGGGAACAGGGCCGAATATCGGCCCCAGAGTTAGAGAATCGAGAGCCCTGCTTGCGCGATAAAAACTCCTTTGTTTTAATGCTTTGCTTATTGGAATAATATTATACTATTGATCTCTAAAGGATTCTATTAATATATTTAGCCAGGTATAAGGGAGTATATAATAAATTTATCATTATAACAGTAACTTGATCCAGAGAGCCGTATCACGGCTCGTTGACAGGCGCTGATCATCAGATCAAACTCGACGCTTCGCGTCTCATTAGATCCGATTATCCGTGCCTGTCAACTCGACGTGATACAACCCTTCAGATCAAGTTACTGTTATAAGGCCTAAAATAAAATATTGTTTGTTTGCAGTTGCCGACCGACCCACCAAAAATGCACCCGATCCAAACTTTTTTTTAGCCATTTTGAAATATTATTTTTTTTCTCCAATTTTTCAGGATACTAAAACTGTTTCATTTTCAATTTTTGTCTTCATCATTCATTAGTTTATACCAAGAGTGCAGCTTATTCATGTATAGTAGGCCCATGAAAAACTCTATTTTATGTTATCTAACATAAATCTGGAAACAATTTTTTTTTCCAAAAAAAAAAAATTGCCTACCTACCTACCCAGACTAAAAATTATAGGTCGGCAACTGCAAACAAAGAATTTTTTAAGCTTGGCCTAATAATATATATATCACTCTGTTCAATCATAAAACTAATTTCTATAAATTCTATTAACTAAACTAGCTGTAGATCTGTAACGTTATGGTTTTATATATTTGTCTTTGACCATAACGCTACAGATCCTGTAATGCAAAAAATGTGCAATTTACGGCGCAATATTTTTTGCGCACTTTTGGGGAGAATTTCACCACTTTCTAGCATTGGTCAGTCAACTACCTTTTACTCCCTAATTCTAGACACATTCTGTAGCCAATATGTATATTTCATCCACCTCCCAACCATTTATAGTGGTCTCTACAGGCAATAAACTCGCTTGAAATGAATTTTCAGCAATCTAACAAATAATTTTGATCAAGCGAGTTTATCACTTGTAGAGACGAATATAAAAGGTTGGGAGAAAGAAAAAATATACAGATTAGTCAAATAATGTGCCTAGAATTAGGGAGTGAACGGTAGTTAATTGGCCGATGCTGGAAAGAGAGAATTCTCCCAAAAAGTGCGCAAAAAATATTGCGCCGTAAATTGCACCTTTTTTGCATTAATACAGGATCTGTAGCGTTATGATCAAAGACAAATACATAAAACCATAACACTACAGATCTGAGTGTTGGTAAAATGGGTAGGCAAACCCGGGCCGGGGCAAATTAAAAGCCCGGGCAGTTCGAGATTTTTCAATTTTCTGTCTTAATACTTTATCCATCAAGCTGAAATTTTCAGATTCTATTCTATATATTATTATTCATATTTGCTGTTAAAATTACCCTTAAATACTCAGTATTGTAGATTTTATCGGCGATTATTGATTTTCAGGTTGGTAAAATGGGTAGGCTGTTTCCTAAGTCTAAAACGTACGGTTTCTGACATATGTTGGAGAAAGTCCATAAAGTTATGAATAATTCTAGTGTTTAAGAATATATATGAACTATAAATTAATATGTCTTCATTGGTTATTACAATATTTACGTAAAATTACATCTTTTAAAAAAAAACGGGTCATTAGAACCGAATCCGATCACCCGGGAAAAACCTGAAAATTCCGGAATAATTATACAGGTTACTTGATTTTGCTGAAGATTAACATTTAATCTAAACAGTTCCAAAACCAAATTTAAAATTGATAATTTAAATTGTTAAATCTAAAAGGACCTCCATGTGGTTAGAGCTTGGCAATGTCGAAAAAAAGATAGCTAAACATCCTCCTATAGAAACAATTGGCTTTCATTATTTCAGAATTTTTTAGTTTGCCCTGGGTGATTGGATCCGGTTTTAATGACCCAGTTTTTCTGAAAATGCGTAAACTCTGCATACCTATAGCTTTTATAATGTAAAACTAATTATAGCGAGCGCAGCTAGGCGGCGCGAAGCGCCGCTCGCATGGCGAGCTCTTAAAGCAACGCCTGTGCGAAGAGGAAATTCGAACTTCTGCACATTCATTCGATAGAATTTTTTGATGCCGAATTTGGACCCACAATGCATCACTTGTTTTAGCTACGTTCTCGCGAGAATCACGTCAAATGTTCAACAAAAAGTTTACTCGCCTTGATTAATGGATATATTGAAGATAATAGAAAATAAAACATTCTTCCTTAACTTTCAGCACTGTTCAGGCTTTTTCTCGGTATATTGCAATTTGCATACGTCATGTGACGTCACTGCGGCTTGAATTAAAACAACAGAAGAGTTTGCGCTCGCTCTAACGGTCGCACCGTCAATATATTATTTAGTTAATATAGAGTAGAAAATATCGGAAAAGCCCATAACTGTAATGGTTTAAAGAGTCGTTATTCAAAAATACCATAAAATGCGGTGTTGAATTTGCCTACCCATTTTACCAACTTGGAAATGAACAATTGCCTAGAAAATCCGAAATATTGCGTAAATTACGGCAATATTTACAGGGAATTAGGCGGGAATACAAAAGAACCTTCAAGAAACATAATCTAAAAGTTTCAGACAAATTGATTGAGATTTAGCGAAGATATTTGAAAAATCTCGAACTGCCCCGGCTTTTAATTTGCCCCGGCCCGGGTTTGCCTACCCATTTTACCAACTCTCTACAGATCTGCAGCTATAACTAAACATGATTGAGAAAAATATCAGAGGCCTGTTATACATGGCAAATTTTATTATTTCAACATTTGACATTGGCACTTCAACTTGCAAATTTTCTGTCTTTAATAATTAATAACACTTACTTACATCTTATATCATAATTTTAAAGCAAAAACTAAATGATATGTCTGTCAAAGTTGTTGATATGCACACATTCCGTCAACTCATAATTTTATCAGCGACGCAACTTACTGTTTCTCGCGTTTTAATGTGGTATGATCCACATTCGACTGTAAAGCTGCATTTAAATCAGCAAAACGACGGCCTTGTCTGATCGGCTGGACATTTTCTTTGCTCAGCTCCCATTCATTTGTGTCCTCCATTAGACTGCCGCCTTGTTTTAAATTTTCCAAGTGCACATGCGCATAGCGAGACTTACTTATCCTGTATGGCGATCCCGATGTAATTCGAGGTGCTCATTGCTGAGATAAAAGCTTAAAAAAATAATAAACTCTTTATATGTAAACCCATTAATATATAGAAGAATGGTCTGTATATTTACGCAAATATACAGACCATTTCATATTTGTTGCGCCAAGTTTTGGTTATATCACAATACACGTGTGTGTGTAAGTGAAGAAGTTTTAATGAATTTTAGATAATCGATGATCAACATGATAAAATGTTATTCTATAATTGCAATATAAATTGTAAATTCTATATCAATCAAGAGGATACTTTATTTTACGTGCACCTTCACGAAAATAGCAACACCTAAAACTTATCAGGAACACGTTTCTGTTTATTCTTGGGTTAGTACGGTATTTATTCTAGACATTTTTTAAATCGTACCTGAAATAGACAGTATGATAAACAGTGTATAAACTATAAATAACAGTGCAAGATTCCATTTCTTTCGTTAGGATTGTTTTGTTGATTTTAAGATATCTTATTGTAAAAACCTACAGACGTATTGATTAGAAGTTCTTCGAATTTAATTCGTCCTCTCCCTTCAAGAAATTTGTTGTGTGTCTGAATGTCAATTTGGATTTTTTACTGTTGACTTACTTCTTTGTTTTCATTTATTTATTTTCTTTGATGTTTGCGCTAATTTAATTTTTGTGTTGTATGTGCACTGTTTGTGTGTATGAAGAACATCAATTTAAATATAAACAAGAGGCCCAGGGGCCACAGCGCTCACCTGAGCACATCAGGCTTGAATTTACTCCACCCCCCCTCCAGGTGTCATCATTTGAACAAACTAGAATCTACACTACCTGAGGATGATTCTATATAAATATCACAAGTCATAGCTTTGAAGTACTTGAAAAGAAGATTTATAAAGGGTTTCTCTATATATCCCTATATAAAACTTGGGTCGGCCATTTTGGCCCCACCCTAGCCCCGGGGGTCATGATTTGAACAAACTTGAATCTACACTACCTGAGGATGATTCCACATGAGTTTCATCTCTCCTGGCCCAGTGGTTCTTGAGAAGAAGATTTTTAAAGATTTTTCCTATATATTTCTCTGTAAAACTTGGGACGGCCATTTTGGCCCCACCCTTGCCACAGTGGTCATGATTTGAACAAACTTGAATCTACACTACCTGAGGATGATTCCACATGAGTTTCATCTTTCCTGTCCTAGTGGTTCTGGAGAAGAAGATTTTTCTTATATATTCCTATGTAAAACTAGGGTATTTTGGCCCCACCCTTGCCACAGGGATCATGATTTGACCAAACTTGAATCTACACTACCTGAGGATGATTCCACATGAGTTTCATCTTTCCTGGTCCAGTGGTTCTGGAGAAGAATATTTTTAAAGATTTTTCCTATATATTCCTATGTAAAACTTGGGTCGGCCATTTTGGCCCCACCTTTGCCCCGGGGGGTCATGATTTGAACAAACTGAAATCTGCTCTACCTGAGGATGATTCCACATGAGTTTCATCTTTCCTGGTCCAGTGGTTCTGGAGAAGAAGATTTTTAAAGATTTTTCCTATATATTCCTATGTAAAACTTGGGTCGGCCATTTTGGCCCCACCCTTGCCCTGGGGGTCATGATTTGAACAAACTTGAATCCACACTACCTGAGGATGCTTCCACATGAGTTTCATCTTTCCTGGCCCAGTGGTACTGGAGAAGAAGATTTTAAAAGATTTTTCCTTTATATTCCTATGTAAAACTTGTGGCCATTTTGGCCCCACCCTTGCCCCGGGGGTCATGATTTGAACAAACTTGAATCTACACTACCTGAGGATGCTTCCACATGTGTTTCATCTTTCATGGCCCAGCGGTTCTGGAGAAGAAGATTTTTTAAAAATGCCATAAATTTTTCACAAATTCATAATTATCTCCCCTTGGAAGGGGGCGTGGCCCTTCATTTGAACAAACTTGATTTCCCTTCACCCAAGGATACTTTGTGCCAAGTTTGGTTGAAATTGGCCCAGTGGTTCTTGAGAAGAAGATGAAAATGTGAAAAGTTTACGCCGACGCCGACGACAACGACGACGACAGACGACGGACAAATTTTGATCAGAAAAGCTCACTTGAGCCTTCGGCTCAGGTGAGCTAAAAAAGGAATATGATTCTTTGAATTTTTATTAATTCTATCTACACGATATAGAAGCTTCTACTATTCCTAGCTTATACCCTCTTTACCCAAACTCAGAATATGGATCTTAAAAATAAGTTAAAGCATCTGAGTTTGTGTCATTGGATTTAAGAAATTGATGAATTGATGTTTGATGCTTCAATAATGTGCGAGATTTAGTGAAATCAAAATCGACTGAGACGCTTCTCAAAGCATTAAACCTTTTTAATGGTTTAGGAGGGCTGGATTTTCAGACTTATTTAACCACTGTGTTTAATCAGTGATAAATTGAGCCAAATCTCTGATAACATAATTTTTTTCAAATGAAGTTTTTCACGGAGAATTTTGGAGTAGCTGGCCAAGATTCTTTCACAAAACGCGCCGAAGACGGGTTATCCGATGGAATCGATACCACGTGATTTATTAGGAGGAGAAAACTTTGATAAGATTGTTATGGTATTTTCTTCTCTTTTTTCTTCCGTCTTCAAAAAACGTTAAACAAGCGATGTCGATGAATATTACAGGCCACAACTGGGCGTTTAAACATACAAAGATTCTCCGCTTGGAGCAATCAAAATGCCATTATGATGTCATTTATTTTTGTCGTCTTATGACGTTTTTGTCGATACAAATATCGTTTACAAGATATCGAGACAACCACTCATCTTTTATGGTTTATTTTTTCTTATCTGTTATATATGTTTGTCTGCTTAATTGGGCCTATCTTTCCTCATAGACAATATCCCACATTTGTTCTAAGTGAAAAAATTTATTATGTTACCTTATCGGTAAGTCTTAGGTTTCATTTTACGTTTCAAAATAAAACCAATAAAACGAAACAGTTATGTAGACAATGAAGGGGAAGTTAAAGATATAGTGAAATGCGTGAACATTTTTTTCCTGCGTTATAAAGGAATTGGACCATAATGGGCGGATCCAACCTGGCTGAAATGTCCGCTCCCTGAATTTTTTTATTTTAAAAATGCTTAGGCCGTATCTTCAAAAATTGTTTGGTTGCCCTCTCCCGACCGACTAGCTAAAAGTAACCCGACTCAATATTTTTTAACCTTTAAGCATATGTTTCTGAGACGCTACTCTCCTCATTGTTTGCTCCTCTATGAGGAGAATAGCGTATCAGAAATCCTTGGCTAGCGAAGATGACCTCCAGGAAGCAATTACTTTTTACATGTACTCTGGAAAATATAATTTTAAGAATTTATGTTCACTGAAATAATATCCTGAGAAATTTTTTTCTCCCCTACCTATCGACCCAATATTTCCAGACCGAGTCGGGAGAGAGCAAACGAACATTTTGCTCAAGTTGGCCTCGGTGTACTTGTTAGTTTGAATGTCTTTTGTGGTCCTCTTTTAATATATGTTTTTTCTTCAATTTCCTTGTTTTCTGTTTGTTCTTAAGATTTTAAATTTTTAGGTCGACTAGATACATGTATTAGATGGGTTATTCAGTGAGTTTTCCTTTCATTGTCAGCTTCTTGAATTCGATTTGCCTTCTAATAGTGCCAAATTCTGATTTTGACTAGCATATACGAAACGACTGCACATGGGAAATGGTGCAGGGTCAATCGGTCAGAGTTTAAGGATGACTTAATTGATTGGTGTTTGACATTTAATATTCTGCAGGCCTTTCTGATATTGACAGGTGTTAAATTAATGTCAAGCCAAGAGCAGAAGCTGTGAATTTTGAGTATAATTGTTTGTTCTACTTAGAAGTACATCGATTTGATGTAAAGGTAACAGCAGACCCATTAAAACGTTAACATATAAAGACTGTGGTCTTACTGTGTAAAATTCAGTTAACATCACTATTGTTTTGATCACGGTTAATCTGCCATATCTTCACATTTTTTTCAGAATATAGCTAGTACACCTACTTTTAAAGGATGTCCGTTATGGTATGTAAAGTTCTTTCCTGTTCTTTTCAGAGCATCAAGCCACGGGACCCATACGAACTTTACATGTTTGTAAGCTTATTCATCAACAATTCAATAATTTTATTGATTATTTATTATTGGCGATTCGTAAAAAAATATTTGATGATTTAAATCAAATCTTCATAACGTTTGGAGACCAGGTCTTCCAACAATCTATTGGAATTCCCATGGGTACCAATTGCGCCCCGTTATTAGCAGACCTATTTTTGTACTCATATGAAGCAGAATTTGTCCAAAATCTTATAAAAGATACCTCAGAGTCTGACATATTTGTTTCATATTTGGATATTTTACTTGAAAGAGACATTAATGATAATCTAACAACCAAGCTCTATGATAAACGTGATGACTAACTTTTAAATCGTCAACTTCCCATACTTAAGCACCAATATACCTTAATCACCTGCATACAGAGTTTATATATCTCAGTTGATCCGGTACGCAAGACTTAGAGCATGCTCTACGTAAGAACAATCTCTAAGACGAGGTAAATTATTGGCAAACAAGTTGATGAAAAAAGAATATCAACAGCCTCGTTCAAAGTCATCATTTCGTAAGTTCTGTGGTCGATACAATGACCTTGTCAGCAAATTGAGTCAAATGCTGACTGACGTTTTACATACTAATTGTTAGTCCATTATTTATACACTGAACTGACGACGAATGTTCCGTTATTTCCCAATCATGACAAAGAGCACGTGGCGGGTGTGACCGGTCGGCAGGGTATGCTCACTCCTCCATGGCACCTGATCCCACCTTTGATGTTTTGGAGGTCCGTGTTTGCTGTGCTCCTATTTAGTATTGTTTTATGGACTTTGGATCTTGAATATGTTCGTTATCTCCATATGTTTCATT